TTTTTAATAAAACAATTATTCCACTCGCTCTTGTTGGATATGAGATGATTATAGCCAACTCAGCGCCACGCGCCTCGTTGGCTATCTATCATCTCATATCCAAAGCGCGCTCGTGGAATAATTGTTGAATATAATAATATAGATTGATTGCTATAGTGCATTTCCATGTAAATGCTCTAATGCGCTTTGCAACACTGTGCGGGGGACATTTCCAGACTGCCGGCGGCAGTTTACAATTAATAGGAGAAATTTTACAGATGCCCCCTCCCCACATTCCCAGTAAACAGGCCAGACCACATCCCCGTAATCTCGTGATGTGGGTTCTTTAACGTCCCTTGCCGAGATTAACTAATTTTTTTCGGTGAACCTAAAGGGCAACTGTTTGGCTTTTGTGCTGCCAAGTTTTGACTTGAGGGAAAGTATTTAAGTGTTGTTTTCGATCGATTTTGGCAAGCATGTGTCAACAGAAGTTTCCAACCTTCCCGTATTTTGTGCACGGGGATTTAGGACGTCAAGCTAAAACAGATCAAAACTGCCTCAAATCGTGAGGAGAACAACACAGACTACTCTCTACGAAGGTAAGACTTTATTTCTTTGATTAATTCACACAACTTTACATTTACGGAGCTCAAAAGCAAGTCCAACTAAACCACTATACAAACTCTTTAATTATTCACCGTGAAAGAGCCTGTGACAGAGCTTGGGCTACCTGTGACTCTCTCCAATAAAGTATGGAAGTCAACTATCACAGTATTTATTGTCGAAGTGATAAAGTGGCGGGCAAACCGAGTGGTAACCGCGTTGGGCAGCCGCGTTTTTTCAAGTTTTGGCACGAAAATCTTGGATACTCAGCTGTAGGCTTCGGGTTTGATTCATGATTGTGATGACGTGTTCTAACAAGTCTATTTATTGATCTCCCTACTCATTCCCACTTGTTCATGTTTTTATATAGAAAATAACCTCAGAGTCTCCTCGACTTTTACATAAGCGCGTGGATTCCCGCGCGTTACACGAGTTTTAATGAGGATGAAAGAGAGGCTGCTAGAACCCAGGATTACCATTTGTTAATAATTCATCATCTATTCAAGATGGCGGAAGACATGAGAGAGAAGGTGGCCCAACTTTTGAAGGGAATAGATAGGTACGTACAGTCAAACACTAGCCATTAATTTTGAAAAACACGGCCAGATATAAGTTCCTTGACATCAGTGGAAAGATCCCGGTTTTAAAAACCGACTTTGGACGTCTGACAATCTTTTCTCTGCCCACGTGTGAGTTCTAAACCCTGAAACTATTTCTATGTATGATTTTGCCATTGACTAATTTACTCCTCGGTTTGTTTATTTTGTCGATTGACAACTAGACTTTCAGAGGGAATTTCAGGGGTTGCTGATTGAGGATGAGACAAAATTTGGTGTATGAATGATACCCAAACAACGGTTCTTTGACCGGCAAAAGTGAAGTGATTGTAGTTACAAAATTAACATATGAGAATCAAAAATTGAAAAACACTCCTAGTGGAAGTGAAGAGGTCACTCTGAAGAAGAATTTGATTCTCATATTGGAACATAGCTTGTGAAGAAATATGTATTCGTTTGTTTTTCCCAGATACAACCCTGAAAATCTCACAAACTTGGAGGGCTATGTTCATTTTCAAGTAAGGCTTATGGTCACAAACTTGTCAATTCTGACCACCATACTTAAGTTTTAAATTGAATTAATTTATAAGTGCTTTCATCTAGTAACTAAAAGTACATAGATTAAATGTGGAACCTGTAGCATGAAAAATTTGTGGGTTGTATTTTGTGGGTTGTATTTTGTATATGGCTGATATTTTAAGGTTAGTGGAAATAAATTCGTGCAGTTTACAACAAACTCTAGGACTGTTGTCTAGCAGTGTTCAGTGGTCCCTGGTACCTTACTTTTGCTCTTGGGCAACTCAGAAATCTTAGTTTTTTCATAAAAAGCATATGCAGGGCATCCTGGATTTCACAGTTTCGGAGCAATGGGCTTCCTTCAATCTTTCTTAGAGCACAGCCTTGACCTCAATATTAGCTATAAACAAACTTTGGTAATTTTGTCTTTTTTTAAGCAACAGAATATTAACAGGAAATAAAACTGGATCATTTCATATTTCATCACTTTTCAGTTGCACCACACTCTAGTCAGCTCCAAGAAGTTAACAATTGATTACACCTCCAAAATAGAGCTAAAAGCCTGCCATCATACCCTGCCTACTCCACGGGAGCTTTTTTCCATATGGAATTTTTTTCCATACTAACTTATCTTAAAGAATTTAGATTAAGATGCGTATGGAAAGATGAAAATATCAAATTCAACAAAATTTTTATGTTAAACCATAACAGCACAATTTTCAAGATCAGAATGAATTCCATTATCAGTCAGAAATTATTAAATGTGACAGTTTGATTTAAGATAAACTTGGTGTATCAGCAAGTATGTTGAAACTCCTCCGAAGGAGTTAGATTTACTTTGTAAGTTGGACAAAATTTTGTATCTTATCAACTTACTGACAAGATAACCAAACCCTTTTCTTTGCAAAATAAACCTACACTTGAAAGAAGATGTGATTCAGTGATGACACAGGCATGCTCCAGGAAAAAGAACTCCAGGTGCTCCCAGTTGGAGTGAAACATATGAGCACTGAGCTAAAGGAGACCTGCAGAAGGCTAGGTCTATGGTGACAACCTACACTTCTTGAGAAAATAGCTTAAATTTCCATATTATCAAATGACCATGAACTAATATGTGTTTTGATTTGTTCATTAGGTCTACAACAATGCTTATGATTTGGATGCAAATTTGGCAGTTCTGAAGTTGTAAGTGTACTCATACATGCTCAGTGTCTACTTGTAAGCTTGAGTGATGTAACAGTGTATTGTAAATAATATATACAAACAATTGTGGTAAGCCTAATGTATAATTTTTGGCTATAAAATGAATCCTTTATTGACTTTGCTTGTTTTGTCCTCATAACAGAATATAGATAGACCTTCCCCCCCTTTCTTTTTTTTCTTATACATTGTAAACACTTAGGAATGTTTTAAGTCAGGTGTTAACAACTTTTAATTTTTCTTTTTAGGTACCAGTTCAATCCTGCATATCATCAAACAACAGTTACCATGCAGATTCTATTGAAGGCCCTCATGATGTTGCCCAATGCTGACTTCATTATGTGCAGATGTCTTATTGATGATGCCAATGTATCTTTTGTCCTATGAGCTTACATCACATTACTTTGGAAACAACTAATATTTCATTAGAACTTGGAAATTGTTCACTGCAGGTTTTCAAAGCCAGAAAGACATCCTGTTTGCTACAAAACTCAAAATAGTGAAAACACTAAAGCCAAACAGAACATCAAATCATAACTGTCCTTAAAGCAACAAACACTTTTGACATATTTTAAAGAAGTTCATGGTTTGTTCAATTTCACAGTAAGACTCAAGACCCAGGCTAAATAAGTAAGATTCCCTCCTTTCTTTCTATCCATCCAGGTTATGTTTGTTCTACCAACAAAGCAGCCACTTTTCCCACAAAGTTTGATGTTTTAAGCATGATAACCACAACAATTATCTTGCACGTTGTTAATCTCTTAAGCTTATCCCCATACTATCTGAATGTTACAGTATCCAGCAAACATGTCATGAGAATACTTAAACTTGTCAGATAGAAGTTGTTATCTTGATCTACCTATGAACAATGACGAGCTTTAGGCATGATGATTGACAACCTTTGAACAATTTGAAAGCATGAGGACAACTTTGAAAGCTTTGAAGGCTGATAGTTTCTAAAGAAATTGTTTGGCGCTGCGTCGGTGGGGGTAACGAAATAACTTGAATATATCAACAAAGTTGAGATGGTAAATTGGCCACCGTTACGGTGGCCAATTTACCATTTCAACTTTGTTGATATCAAATTATTTTGAAAGCTTTAGACAGGATTCTGAACTCAGATGAATATTTGCACTGCCTTTGCATTGTTTTATATCCTTGTTTGGATCAAATTGATCAATTGATTTCTTTTGTTCTCAAATAAACTACCAATAAAATTTGAATACGTTTTAATTTACTCATTGAATGCTGCGGAAATGTGTGTTTTCTGAGTGAGATGCTTTTCTTTTGTTCATTTTAATCATCAAAGCAATAGGCTTATGAAGTTTTCCATTTTTTACAGCAATACAGCATTGAAACACTTTTCTGTTTTGAAACTTTTACATTCATATCAGTTTGTTTGAAAATGGAATTCTCTGAATATAGTCTCAGCTTATAGCCGAGTATTTTCAATTTACATGTTTTAAGAACCTTCCCAATTAAAACAGACGGAAGTTTAGGGTCTTAGCTTATAGCTGAGTTTGGCTTATAGATGAATAAATATGGTAACAAGAAATTCTCATACCTAATTTAAAAGGAAATGTGTAGTGGCTCAAGTGGAGAATTAACAATCAGATCTTGGGGGTTAGTGGTTAAGATCATCTTTACAAGACTGTGATTTTCAGTTATGACCAAAAATGAGATCAGAGATTAGGACTAGAAATGTTTATGGCTAAAAAGTGATAAATGCTCTTTATTATATTTTCTGGCAACTTTCAACATAATATACACACTACCTTAACTCTACAAAATAGCAACAAGATCAAGCCATAGCACGAGTCATTAAACTTGCCGAGTTGTTGGAAACATGTAACTTTTTGGAGGCATGGGTAAGAGTTGTTTAATTATCTTTGTTTGTATCTTTGTGTTGAAAATTTTAATAAAATGACATTTGATAAATTGTTATGAAGAGTTATTACAATATGGAAGCAAAAACTGATTTATTTATGGTTTTCAGTGGTGTAGGGAGTTGATGACTTTGTGCATTAATTAGATGGCTTTTAATTTCTGAAACAAAGGCAAAAGGCCTTAGGAGGGAGGGGAGTTCTCTTAAAAAATATTTGGAGGTTTAGAGGATTTAATTCTAATTTGCTCATTTTCATGCATGCAAAGCAGTTTGGCTTTATTTGGCAACGTTAAGATTAGAGAAAATGTAAAGCAAATTATTCTATGGAATGTGATAACAAATTTTCTGAAGGTTAGTAAACTTTTTGTAACAATACTTACATTGTCTTTTTTTTAACACTTACTGTTCACAACTTAGACACTTTGTTTAAAGTAAAGCATCGTGCTTGAAGTGGCTGTTTTGTTAGTTAGTGACTGGCATTTAATGAGAAACCTGATTATTTACTTATTAATTACAGTCGAACCTCAATTATCCAGACTCATTAGGAATGGACGAAATAGTCTGGATGATTGAGGGTCCGGATAATTGAGAATATGAAAATTAATGAGGAACAAAAAAATGATTAAATTAAGAAAGCGATAAATATTTTTCTCCTTTCTTGCAGAATTATAGACTGTTTATCTTTTATTGCAAAAATAAGAAATAAATTAAGTTTATCCTGCACACCATGCTCAATGAGCCAATAAGGTGTTAAATCTTATATAGCAACAAAACAACTCCAAGCCAATCAAACCTCATTCGAATGTTCTTCATTAGTTAAAACATGTGCAAGTGCTGCTTTTGCTTTTTGAAAGCAAAACAAACTTGCCTTTACTTCACTTTTCAATGCTGTGGTTTTGAAAAGAATATGGCTACGGATCTTGGTAATGACTAATAAATATTCATGACAAAGTTGGGACCAGAGAAAAAGTCTGGATAATTGTGGTCCAGATAACTGAGGTTTGACTGTAACTAAACCAAAAGTCACTCCTGTGAATGATTTCATTTTCAGAAATATCTAAATGAGGACACTTCCCTTGTTGATGGAATTGTAGGATTTCATGATGCAATTAGAAAATGTGAGTAATGCAATGAGAACTTGTTAGCACAGGTAAAACGCTTTTGGATGGATGGCAAGTGTAGGATCCCATAATTTCACAAGTTTGCTAAAGAACTTCATGAAACTTCCCACATTCACTCTTTAGGTAAACTACCTTAATCTCACACCTCGGGCATATGTCAGACATGTATGCCTGCTGCTCAAAACATCATTCTTACACCTGCAGAGCAATTCCTGATTTATGAAAGATACTTTACTATCACAGCCTCAACTGATTTATTTTCACAGAGGAAAAGTATGCTCCAGAAACCATATAATTTTAATCTCTGTTGTCAATCCTTCCACTGCAAATATTTATCCCAACTGTAATTCTCCCTACTGTCTGCTACAGGGCTCGACACTTACAGTAGCCAACTAGCCACAGACTAGTAGAAATTCAGTTGCGGCAAGTGGTTTTCGATTTCCACTAGCCGGTTTTGCTGGTAAACTAACTGAAATTGTTGTAACGTTATAAGTTGTCACTAGCCACTTGGCTAGTAATTTGAAAAGATAGTGTCGATCTCTGCTGCTATACAATTTTTGTAAGTTCTGAGAATTTGGTGTTGGATCAACTAACGATCCTCTTATTTACATTACTCTTGATTCTCATCACTTTTCTGCTTGATATTGTACTAATTTGTAAGGAGAAACCCAGGCTTGGTCACTCAAGGGAATTAAAGGGTTGAGGAGTAGCCGAAAAGAATGACTTGTTTTCATGGTTTGAGATTTGTAAGAGTAACTAATTGTTCGAAAAGGTTTACGGTCAATTCGCAACCACAGCAAGCTCGCCACCACAATACTCGCCACCGCAATACTCGCCACCGCAATACTCGCCACCGCAATACTCGCCACCACAAAACTCGCCACCATTCGAAGTCAAGTTGCCACTGGTGGCGATTTGACTTAAACGTTACGTGTAGCCTCTCGTGTGAAACTTACATCAAATGAAAGGTAATGTGTAGTAGTATATTGCGAAAAGGGAAAGGAACATAGAAGTTAGGTGCAGCGTCTCAATAAAGGAACGTTAAACGAAACAGAACCTCCACCGGTGGCGATTCGACTTCGAGCGGTGGCGAGTTTTGTGGTGGTGAATTGACCGGATACTACAGAAAATTGTGTTCAGATATACTGGTACTGAAAAATTTGGTTTTAAATGCTGCCATTGGAAAACAACATGCAAAACTAAAAGCCACACTTCACAAACAGCTTCTACTCTGGTTAAGGCAAACAATCGATACTTGAAACAGATCATCATATAAACTTATTGATGATGATAAGATTAAGAATACTAGTTATCATAGTTTGATCTACATGTATTGCATGTATAGCTCATATCAAAGTTTGATAAAAATTTGATACAGATGCAAGCTACGTCATAGGAATAACATACCAAACCATCGATAAAACCCACATATCGGAACTTCTTGGAGGTCTTCAAGGTTGGTATGCTTAAATTATCTTTTGAAAATAAATGCTGCAATCCTGAAAATGTCAGTGAGAAGGCCATATGAACCCTTAACACCCCATGATTGGTATCCATATTCCTCATACTGTTCTCTATACATTTACCACGGTAATGATACTGGCAATATATGTTCGACAATCAAGAGCTTCTCGGGTGGGTGAAGGCAGCATGGTCGAGTGGTCAGCGTGTCGGACTTGTGATCCGTCGTTCCCGGGTTCAAGTCCCGCCCTGACCTCTGCCCGGATTTGTTTCACGGTAGCCCCGAGTTTCGAATCCTCGGCCATGCTTGTAATATAGCCAACTGGTTTGCCTTCGGCTAGTTGGGATTCTTAATAATGTTACTTTCAATTTGAATTATTTGTTTGAGTTGTTTGGTGGAAAACCTGTAAACTAGCTTCTAGCTAACTGTTTCTCCACGTTAAACTGTCTATTTATTTTTTATATTTTTATTTTATCATTTTCCTTACTCTTATGGTCTCGATGTTTGATTTAACAGTTGTTACTGTAAGAAGAAACAAGAAGCCGATCACTTTTAAGAGTTAAATTGTTAATCACATTTCATAAATTTTGTGTATTGTCTCTCCTTGACTTGACCGTTCCTCTAAATGTGGCCCAACCTTCCAAGGCAATCACTTTTTGCTTGTGCACGTCTCTATTGGAAACCGCAAAACCGCAGGAAAAAAGTAATCATTAACCGCGAAAAAACTAGAGCAAAACCGAAAACCGTATACAAAACCGTCAAAACCGATAAATTTTCACATGATCCCTGTTATCAAAACCCCAAGCCGTGAGCTGGGTACTATTCTTTGCTTTAAAAGCAATTTGCTAAGTACGCGAAGCTTAAGGTGTAAGAAGTGAAGACGGAAACGTCAAACATCAAGTAGCTGTTTCGCGTTATCCATAAACGTCATGTCTAACCTCATTCCTTCTTTTCCTGCATAAGTTGTTGGTCTTTCACAGGTTGCCAAACCCGTATAAAGTCAAAGTGAGACCACTGACTCTCATTTGAATTTTCTCCTTGTTATTTCCAGGAGAAGAGTTGGACGAGTGGATAAAAGCTCAAAACTGGACAATTAAAGAAGATGGCAGAGTATTTGTGAGCAACCAAGAGGCGCACATTAAGTCCAAGAACATTGCAGAGAAAATCGACTTAGACAGTGAGTTATATTGAATTATTGACGCTAGTGGCCAGATTTCCAAATACTGCAACATTGTAGATAGGGCACCCTCAAATTTCGATTTCATCCTCAGACGTTATTTCCGATAAAAACTGTTCTTTCCTGTCATCATTGTTAGAAGTAGATATCATTGAGACGCTCTTTAATTGTCCTTCTAAAACGCGTATCAAAATCGGTCATGACTCCTGTCCAGTTATGGGGAATTTTGAGACCGTAACCAGCTCCTTTGTTCACACGCTTTCTTGTAAGCCTGGCACTGTGACACTATAGCGGCAATTTACGGCCGTGCATGAAAAGCATTCTCATAAGACAACCATCTATTGTCCAGGGGAACCTTTTTACAACCCGAGGGTGTCTGCGTCCCGGGGCTACCTGCGCACGAGACCTTTCTCTGTCGATGTGTCTGGACGGGCAGCGGGGAAACTGGATGAAATATATCAGGGGGGGGGGTGTCATCAACAAAGTTGCAGGGAAAAGAAAAAAAAAACAAAGTTTCCTTTGGTAGTTGGACTTATTTCCTCAAGCTTTTGAAGTCTTTACTGGAAACGTTTTGGGTTGCGCAATGGGCCTTCGCGAAAACTGCTTTGTTGCGATTGGCTGTTATGATTCGTTGAGGTCTGGTTTTTCGACACTCATTAGCACTGTACGTGCTGTACTTTTAGTCTAGTAAAAACTAACGAAAGAGAAGGACTCAAGCAACTCAAAGGATATTCACGACAATTACTTGTTGTAAGTGTTTTAAAGAGTCTCCAAAATTGCTTCTGTTTTGCTATCTATTTGGACCGTTAAGTCTTTTAGAAATTTTAGGAAATTTTCACTTTCCAGTAATTGCTCGGTTGGTTGGTTTTGGTTGGTACTTCCTTCTAAGCAACTCAATTCAGTGTCATTTTTTTTCCAGGTGTTGCTGGGATAATTTCTGCAGCCAAGTGAAAAAATTTTTGTCTGATTACTCATTTCTTCACCTAACGTCGCTCCTCTTACCTATCTTAACCTTATTTTACTGAAGTAATGAATGACGTATTTCTTTGCCCAAAAAGGGAAAGGACAGTGAACCGTTATATTGTGAGGCACGATTCCCTGGCACTCTGCCACTTTGTTACGATTTTCATTTTCAAGTGCCGCAACAGGGAAGGAAAGGCAAGGCAAGCAGAGGAAGCGGAATGTGTAACTGGAGACAAGTTGATTGAAATAAATTGCGCGTTCAATGTTACAGTAATTTCACTTTAACTTGCATTTTATTTCACCAATGTTAAAAAGAACGAAACCTCTCCACCCAAAGCATATTAAAGTATTACGCCCCATTTGTGTGGCTCGTGCAAGCTTAAAAATTTTCTCGGGTTTGAACATCTTTTAGTTAATAGGCCATTTTACAGTTGTGTACTTAGTGTCCAAGCCTTTGATTCAGAGTGAGGCTAAAGATGACCCTGTTGTGATAGAGACCTGTAGCTAGTTAGCATGATAACAAACTGATTTACATATGAAAGGCAGCAAGGCTTGTATCATAACAAGGTCATCTCTAGCCTCACTCCCGTTCAAAGGCTTGGCAACCAAGCACACAACTGTAAAATGGAATATTCACGTGATTGGCGCTGAACATGGCGGCTACGACAAAATTTGCTCTGCTATCTTTTTTATTCTTTGTGTAGTTTGAGCCTCATTTCGGCTCCCGTTATCCACGCTAGATATCCTGAAGATGCAACAGCCAATGCAAGGAAAGTAAATATATATTTTATAAGTCCTGTTTTTCGTCCAAGCCGCTTTCACATCGCCAAACAAGGTTTCTTCACCACAAGAATTCCGTTTCGAAAGCCCAGCAAACACGGGTTCGTCTCCTTGATTGTTCCTGGCCAAGACCAACCTATTGACATCACGGTGTACATGGATATTCCTTCTAATCCTGGCCCCGGTCTGGCTCCAGAACACCAAACTAATTTTAGTAACATCGACAAGTTGTCTCAGGATGGTACCACTGCGAGTCATTTACATATCCGCCAAACACCAAAGTTACCGTTCTCAAGAAAAGATCTGATAGCCTTGCGAAAGAACTACCGGTCAATCCTCTCAGCACTTTGTTCGAACGGGTTATTCAAGTACCGAGGCAAGCGGGCAGGGATTAGGGAAATAATCAAGATCAAGTTTTACAGCCACGTTTAGAAGAAATAATTTTGACTTGTAGGATATGTTTTCTCAGTTGAATAATTATTCGTAATCAAGTGACAACAATCAACCAAGGCGTTTAACAGTTCCCGTGAGAATAACACATCGTGCCATACCTTACTATTGTCCAAGACAAAGGTTCATCAACACAAATAACCTTCGCTCGATCCAACTTTATGCCGTCCCTTTCTCTGTCTAATGTTATGAGTCTGGCGCCAAAAATGGACGAAATTCGAAATTTCCTTGGTGATCAGAAATTTGATGTATTTTGTAGAACCGAAACTTCGCTTAAAAATTTAGTTGACGACGGCGTAATCAATATCAGCGGCTACAGTGTGATACGTAAGGATAGATCTCATTTAGGTGGTTTGCAACCAATCTCTAGAGACACAGGTAACTGGTGAAAGGAACAAATGCTGGTGGACGAACAAAAGAAGCTAATGAGATGTCCATTGTTTACGTCCACCAACATGGCGGCCATGACGTAACGTGCAAACCACCTATGCAACACGGTGGTGTGTGTGTATACATCAAAGAATCTCATGTTGACCAATCTACATGACTCCCTATTAAAAATAGTGAGCAGTGCTCCTAATGCAGGTATAATTTTAGCTGGTGACTTCAACAGAGCTGATGTGTCTTCGTTAACAAATCAGTTCCATCTCTCCCAAGTGGTCAAAATTCCAATCAGGGGCAATCGTATATTGGACAAAATTATGACCAATTTAAGTGATTACTACAATGCACCTGCTGATCTTCCACCCTTTGGCTTATCCGATCACTGCACCTTTGGTCTTCGTCCCAAGGCCCGTTTGAAGACCAATGTCCCTTCAAAAAGAGTAATCGGTACAAGGGTCTCTAACTCTGAGTCTAAAATGGCCTTTGGTCGATATATAACTGGTCTCGATTGGTCCTTAATTGACACCATGGACAGTGTTCAAGATAAATATTCCGTTCTTAGTGAACTGATCCAAATTGGTCTAGATTCTATTTTACCAACTAAGCGAGTTAAAATCCACCAAAATGATGCCCCATGGATCTCCCTTAGGCTTAAGTCTCTTATCTCGCGGCGACAAACAGCCTATCACAGTCGCAACAAACGGCTTTTCAACTACTATCGAAACATGGTGAACAGAGAACGAAAACTCTGCAATCCACTTATTACCAAGTGAAAGTCCATGAGTTTAAAGATACAGATCCTAATTACAAGAAATTCAGTGGTGGGCACACTGCAGACGCATTTGCGGCATGAGAAAACACCATCTGACTTATCTAACAAGCTACTAATTGACAAGCCCTTTTACTGATGACAATATTAAACGCCTCGCAAACGACATCAATCAAGCCTTTCTACGTCCACAACAAGCCTTTTCGCCCATTCCTGATGACTATCACGTTAGCACATCCGGTTATGAGGCTCCAACTATTTCAGTTGAACAGTGTCATGTGGGCCCCCTCTATAGCAGGTGGCCCAGATGACATCCCAAACTGGGTATTACGTGAGTCTGCTCTTGAAGTTGTTCAGCCCGAGTTTGTTCGGTTGAATCCATCCTTCATTACTGGCTCTATGCCTGAAATTTGGAAATACGCTAACGTCACTCCTCTTGCTAAAGTTAACAACATAGAGGATATCGAGAAAGATCTTACACCTATTTCACTTACCCCTACCTTATCGAAAATAGCAGAACATTTTGCTGTTCAAGAGCATGTGAAGCCTGTTCTGAAAAAGCTCTGCCCAGACCAGTTTGGATGTATCCCGGGTTCCTCTACTACGCATGCCTTGATTGGCATGTTCCATAATTGGACTCGCGCTCTTGATGGAACTGGAAACTGTGTAAGGGCCTTTACTCTAGATTATAAGAAGGCGTTCGACTTGATAGGTCATAGTCTGTTGATGGCCAAGCTTTTGCAATATGATATTAATCCTTACATCATGAATTGGATTGCATCCTTTCTCTCCAAAAGGCAGCAAAGAGTCAAACTAGGGCACGACTGCTTTTCCGAATGGCGCTCAGTTCGTGCAGGGGTTTCTCAGGGTACCAAACTGGGCCCTTGGCTGTTCCTCGTTCTGCTAAACGATCTTAGTGCAGATACCTCGAACGGGGATACTACAGTCTACGAGATAGTGTAGAAAAAAGGGTCTAGTCATGCACAGTCCATCCTCGAAGAGGTATCTACATGGTCTGTTGACAACAAGTTCCAACTTCACCCCAGTAAATGTAATGAGCTTAGGAAAACCTTCGCACGCCTCCGACAAATTATGAACTTGTAGAAATCGCTGGTTGTAAAATTCATACAAAAAAAGCTTCCAAACGCCTGTTTCTTTTAGCGCAACTGAAGTATGCCAAAGTTTCACCTGAAGAACTAGTTCAGTTCTATGTTCCTTGCATCCAATTAGTTATATAGTTTATATAGTTTAGTTATATAGTTTATATCTGACCACTTGCAGCCCAGAGGCTGAATTACGGGTGCAGTGTAAGGTTGAGAACAGACGTCAGCATATCAGGCGCCTCTGACAGCCGCTTCAGTCTATCGATCTCACCTTCCCACCCATCCCACCCCAGGGGAGGACATCCATCACACAGTAACCTCGTGTGTGGGAAATTAACGTCTCCTACCCCAACCCTGCAGGAGACGGGACCTCCATTTATTCGTCCCTATCCGAGAAGACTAGAATATCTAACCTTTTCTTGATGTTATAGAAAGGTAGCAAATTCTTCTCAATTATTTTAAGACCTTGAGTGTTGGTCCGGCCGGGGCTCGAATCCTCGACCTCCCGCACGACAGTCCAGCGCTCTATCCATTGAGCTAACCGGGAGGCGGTTAGATCCAATCTGTTTTACTTTATGGCTGCCAGGTTTTTCATTTTAGTCTTCCACAATATCTTACCTTAAGTTTTGAACGAATACAGAAACGTGCTTTTGGGATAATTTTCAGTTACGAAGTGCAGATGCCCTGGCACGTTCAGGCCTCGTTACGTTAGAGCAAAGAAAGACGGAAATATGTAAAAAACTTTTTAACAAAATTTTAGATAACCCCCTTGATGTTCTGCACCCTCTTATTCCTTTCAACGAGAGACCAACTAAGGACCTCAGGAATGCTAGACCATACCGTGTAAAGCCATGTAAGACCAATAGGTGTCGTGACACTTTCGTCAACAAATATGTAGTTCTTTTTTAGCAATTCAACCGAGCCAATTCTAAAATTTTATATTCGTAGTCGTAGTCGTAGGATTCTTATTGTAAGCATACAAGTAATTTTGTAATTATATTTAAAAAATTTCCCCTTCTGTACATTGTAAACCTTAACAGTTCAGTCCATGCTGCTATTAATGTATTGAATAAACCATTCTTCTTCTTCTTCTTCTTCTTCTTAACATCCGTTGTCTTATCCTTTTCTTCTTAAATTTCAGTCTTTTCTTGTTTATTTGTGGTTAGTTATTCATTAAGTGGCTTGACCAACCAGTTTGTTATTTATTTTAAATACCCTACAGCAATTTTCATTTTCCCTTCTTTGCGGAGAATCCATCGTTCCACTGTAAAGTATTGAATGAAGACGGGTGTTCCGGTAAAAAAGCTGCGAGTGAGTTCCTACAACTGCTAGAATTAATAATTTACGACAAGGTACCTTTTTGTTCTTCAATAACTCGAAAGAACTCGCGTTTTTGTTCAGCGTGAGAAGTCTCTATCTTGAGTGTTGTGAAGTCGAGTTTTGTGGGGTGGGGCAGTTGGCCCCACACCCTACCCTCCTCCTTTTTCCGGGCTTGGGACCGGCTAGATATTCCCGCTACGAGACATCTAGGCGGAGTTAAACTCGATTAACAGAATGTATTGCGGAACTGTGGGCAACAGCCTTACAGGGAGGAATCGGTTTCCCGAACAAAAGGCGCACACGAGGAAATAAGCGCTGAAATTAGAATACACGTACCCATCGCGTCGCCCGCGTCTCGCCCCTCATGTTAGTCCATTGTTTGTCTCCACTTGCCTAAAAAAAAGCAATGATAATAATAGTAACAATAATCATCATCATAATGATAATAACATTAAAATGGCAAAAGAAGTGACCGGGCTATCGCTCGTTGGCTGGGATTAAAGCAAAGGTCACGAGGCATGCGCCGAGGTGTCACCCATAGAAGAAAAGGAGACACAATCGCCAGATGAAACAGCTATAGAAGAACCGTGAGTGGAGAGGCTAACAAAGCAGGCTTCATCTAGAAGCTGTTAGAAAGACAACTTAACATTCCTACTCGTACATCAGTAAGGATGTCTGTGCGTATTTTTTTAAATTCTTCAATCAAGCAATTTTTTTTATGGTCCCTAACAAGAAGAGTCAATTTTAATTTATTTGTCCTTTTGCGTACGTTCTGCTTAGTCTGCAATTGCACCTGGTATCGCTACACGAAAAATGATCATTTTCAGTGCAATCGATACCTTCCTTTTTTTTTTTCCACAGACAGAACAAAACAGAAGAAAAAGAAAATGTTACTTTTTTTTAACTATTATCTGCGAAAGACCCCAAATAAACCAGGGACTATTATCAGCGTTTTTTTTTTTTTTTTTTCAGATGAAACCTTGATACCAGAGTCGGCAGAACAGGAGTTTGGAAACTACTAAGATAATACTCCAATAATACTTAAAAATACTTAATAATACTTAAAAAATCTGGGACTGTGAGCATAGACAGTACTGATCTACTCAACATCAGGAATTGATCGAATCAAATGAAATAGTGGCCTTGTAAAACTCAGAAGAAATACCTTCTTGCGATGAAAGTTCGAATACGTGTGTCTGAAGACAAATTCTTTTTTTTTGGAGACGTCACACAATCATTGGATGAAACAACGTCGTTGTAAAATGCGATACACACAACCTTTAGCTTAGACTTCAGGGCGTGGTCGATTACGCATTGGAATTTGTAGAATTGTGCATTTTTCAAGGAGTCACAAACAGTGATCTTTGAGTATTTTCGCTATTGTTTTGATGATAGTTTTTAGCCCTTAATCCTTGAAAGAACGACTGACTGACGTGTTGTAACTCCTTAGAATATCCGTACATTGTCTTTAAGTCGTGATCAATTCAGACAGATACTCTCCAAGGCTGCCATCCAAGCCGTATAACTGATATCAGCATATCAAACTTTGCCTATTGTTATAGTTTCATTATGGAGGCTATTTTCTTCTTTCGTTCTTTTTGAAAGATATTACGTCGAAGCAGTACTCCTAGTTGGTAACTCAAAGATCACTTCCTCACCTACATAACCGACGGGACTGAGCATGCGGTAACAAATGTTGGCTAGCGGGCGCACTTACGTACTTGCGGTGAGGAGGTCGGTTCAAAGATTGCCTGCAAGTTTCCATTTCTCTAACGAAGGTAACTGTGACCGGAAATAAATTTCATGCAACTTTCTTTTTGGTCTGTAAAGCGGTAGACTGTCTCATCTAAGAGGGCATGACTGAGTCTATATAGAGCGCCTCTCCATTGTGCCGATACATAAACCGTGTCGAAGTTTGAGACACCAGGAGGCGCAAAATCCGAGAGCATTCACGGTTATGAAACTGCTGAGGGTTCTATGGCCAACCATAAAAATTTCCCTCTTTCATCGCCTTTTCTTTCTTCAAAATCCAGAATAAAAGTTTCATTTTCCAGTTTGATCGACGTTAGGAGTGGCGAAGTAAGAATCGTTTTGCTCAAAGAAAGCGAAGGCAAAGCGAGAAACACAAACCAGAAAACGACAAGAGGAGAAGGGAGAGGGTGAAGACGAATGCGGAAATCTGCCGACCCGCTCTTCTCTTCTTTTTTTTTCGGCGCAGCAGTCAATCCGACCTTGTTATTCATTCAAATTTGGATCCGCGTTACTTTAAACTTTATCCTCCATGAACTCACAGGAGTGTGTAGAAGTGAAAAATGTTCTTCACTGTACTTTTTCTGTGTTCACATTTTACCTCCATTTTCTCAGTTTTTGCTGGCGTAACAGCCATTATAAACTGAACTGCTTGAGCCGTGCGCGTATACAAATCTGGAATGATTTTCAAATGTTTTTCTCAATGACACATACATACTTACCAAAGTCGAAGACTGACGAATCAATACGATGTGCGTGTAGAGATTGGGAGGGGAACGGAGAAGAGGGGAGGGGAGGGGAGGGGAGGGAGATGTAACGCTGGTTATTCATTCATCAACCGCAGCTGCCTCATCGATGACGAAACAATACGTCGTCCGCCTGGTGCCAGAAAGGTGTCATATAAATCATCGTTAATAATGACTCTGGGAAGGTTTGCTGACCAATTGCTGTCTTCCAACAGCTGGCGGAAGTGCTTCTGGGTGTTAAACGGTTGGCCTCAAAATAGTATTTTCCTTTTGTTTGGATTTTTGCTCTTTTTTCCTCGGTGAAACGAGTGATGACATAACGCATTTCTTCTTAAGTTCTACTTATTTTAACTCAATCACTGAGGTTGGAGTATGTTTTCGGAACGCTCGCTCTACGGCGAACTAGTTTCGATGATCCACGACAATAATCCGAATTACCCGACTTCATCATCTGCGGTTTTCCTCGCGTTCACGTTTTCGCGCGCTCTCATACCCTCGGTTTTAATCGTTGATGTTTCGATTTCTAGTCGGCTCATTTTGCTGACCTTTGTGACTCGTTTCTCACTGGAATTTCGCCTGGCTCCTTATTTAGCGTTACGTACGAATGATGCTTTAAACTGTTCGTTTAACCCACTTAAAGGAACTCCTTGTAATCGAGATTAATAATGATAATATAACAGTCATCATCACCTTTCCCGCAATAATCGTGTGGTCGAACACAACCAATCCTGAACTATTGGAGGCGCTCATCTTTTCCACGTAACTATCTCCGTCCAAATAACGTTTTACGGCATTTATTGCCGTGTAATAGGCGAGTATGGTGATTAACGCCGGATAAAACCAGGTGATTTCATAGAAGTAGATCGTCGACATGACCACCGAGATCTGTTTTCAATCCAAGAACTTGTTAACTATCGAAGTTAACACATTTGTCATCATGTAATGAGCTGTCATGTTTAAAGTACTTCCAGCTTTAGGGATAATTTCTATTTCATTTCTGATCTTAATACCAAGATTCTTTGCTCTTCTTTTGGTTTACTAAGCTTCATACCTTTTTTCCTCCATTTTAATTGCACGTACGATACTTGCTAGTCATAACTTGTTCAAACTGCGATACCTTCCTCATTTAATGTCTTGGAACAGAAGTTAGTAAAAATGGAAAATAACATGGCAGGTTGATAATTCAAATGTCTTTCAATATTCCCAAAGATGTATCTATCACATTGACACAATTTGCATAACATAGAACATACAAAATACATACATGCACATGATTCTTTGAAGTAACTTGGAAAATTTCGTTAAATATTTCCAATTTTTTTTAAAAAAAAAAAAAATCACATACGAGTGTGTTAACACTGGTATGCAATTCAATTATCTCGATCGAAGTGTTTTATGAAATCTAATGAGAGAAATCGTTTGACACCTTCGATCATAACAAATCTAATATATTCAAACCATGGAAACGCCGTGATCAAAATTACACCCAATGCAAATTTCGAGGGAATAACCGATAAAGGACTGTTATAAAGCTTGTTCAACGTCGTTCAACTTAAGGGTTTATGGAAGTAGTCCAATCAGACTTGTTCGCGTTAAAAGCATATATTTCACCCTAGATAAGATACTGTACGTCACACGGAGTGAACCTGTTTTGTGTAAAGATTCTGACCACGGGATTTCACGATAGCAATTTCAAAATAAGGTGAAATTCGAGCATTGCGAAACTTCATTCATGCATTAGTGCGCACCGAACAAACCCGACCGGTTCGAACGCGAAGGATCTTAAAAAGTAATTTTCGATAACAAAGGTAAGTGCTATCCTGGTAACGGGTAACCTTTGTTGAAGAAAAAAAAAAGTTATAATTTCACTTGTTTACATTCAAACAGGTCAAGTTGGGTGAAAACAATGGCTGAACGTGGAATAAGCGATGTTAAGGATGTACTGAAACGCATCGAAGATCATAAAAAAGTCGTCGGTGTGGTAATCGTCGACAAAGATGGCCAAGCGATTCACAGTACTCTGGGCCCGACAGAAACGACATATTACGTACAACACTGCATCGCACTAATAGCCATCGCTAAAAGTACAGTAAGAGAGACCGACCCTACTGACGATATTCAGTTTTTCCGGATACGAACAAAGAAATTCGAGATAATGCTGGCGCCCGAACACGAGTATTTACTTATCGTGATACAGAACACGTCGAAATCCACCGGAAAATTTCCTTGAGTTAAAAAAAAACAAAACAAAACAAAACAAAAAACCGGTGTTAAATGCAGAAGAAACGACACAAATTCTTATTGTATCTGTTAGCAAACCGCTTTAATTATCAAACCCAAGATAAACGTACAATCAATTTTGATTTTGAAATTAAAACTTCTGCATTGGTTTATGCAAGTTGGTCTTTACACTCCATTGTTTCAAGGACATTTCGTCGCGGATGTTTTTTTTACGACTGATGTGTACAAGAGACGAAGTTTGACTGCTTTTTCAATCTGTATTTGCAGAAAAACAGCAGGTGCATAGGGGTATTTTTTCATCTTCTCATTAATATTAATTACGGTCTTTGTTTGTACCGACATGAAACCGAGATGAAATTGCACTATGAAATTGTACGATGAAATTGTTTGTACCGAGATGAAATTGCACTATGTGGAAGAGAAACAAAGAAGGAAAAATCCACGTAAGGGAACATTTTGCTTGTATAATTCAACAAACCCACACAACGTTTCTTATATTTATTAGAAAATCTATGAAACATTCCAAGCAACTATACACACTACTTAACCTTTTTTCTGTTGGTAGGAAAACATGGTTTTAAACTGATTTAAAATGATTTAATTTTTTTGGCTTAAGAATTATTCAACAAATCCCTAACAGCCCATTAATCCTCTGGCCACGAAGAGCTGTCCATCAAAACATTTTTCCTGTGGGACGGCGGATTTCGGAGTCTTTTAATAGAAATCACGAGTCTAGTTCAAAGCTTAGAATATAAAAAAAACCGCAGTATGACAAACATTGTACAAAAGGGTTCATCTTAAGGGGCACAAGCTTAAATGAAGAAGTCCCAACGAATTTTGTCTGATTTCTTGTCATGATCTCCTGTTTGGGGCTCCACACGCTTGGACGATTCTCCAGAGGTACCTAAACGGGTCGCAAAAAACCGTCACTGCCTCGCTAAAAGCTTTTGAAAGATAAATCCCCCTTTAGATAGAGTGCTAACGTTCTATTTCTGGGCTCTTACTAACAGCCTTGTTCTCATGCGGTTCACTATTAAGTAAAACTTTGCTGGCCGCATACGTACTTTTTGTAGTCGACTTCTCAAAGAAAAATACCAGAGCTTTTCCTTAGATTTTCGAAGTCTCTTGTAATGTATTTGATTGCAAGATGCAGGGCGGTTGCACTTTATCATTCTACTCTGTTGTAAAAGCTTTTTCAGTAATGTTTTTCACTCAATACCAATAAAACAGATATTAGATTATTCCCATGAAATATTCACGAAAAGATCTCGAGGCGCAAAAGCACCCAATGCTGGATTTCCAACGTTCCTCAAATCTTCCTGGCCACAGATACAGCTCAGGATTATTAAACTCACCATACTCTATCCCTACATACGGGGAATTTCCGCTTGAGGATCCGTTAACAAGCTCCAGTCGGTACCTATACAAAAACCGATCCTTCTTCTGTGTTCCAACTCTTTCTTCTCCTCCAGATCCGCCCACCGAACCTGAAAAAAAGAATTGACGTCTTGAGTCTTAGTCACACGGCCCCGACATCATTTAAAATTTCTAACTCGAAATCGTTGGACAATGCTCCACATTGCAATGTGTGGGGACCAAACAATGCAGTGCAAAACACTGAATGCCACACTAAGAAACAAGAGTTTGGGTGCAAAATATTACAAAATCCAGGGGTAGCAAAACCAACGGAGGTACAGAGATACTTAATGAGCATGTGCACGCATCATAAATGATGTTGAAGACGAACTATGACGGCAATCAACCTTTCTCCAATATCACGCAACATGAAAGCGAAACATGCAACAAGCACAATTCAACAAAGTTGGACAAAATTTCACTCAAAATGTTGGATTTGTTTGGCCGGGTCTTTTCAGATTAACAAAATAAAGAACATGCCTGAGCACATAACTGCGAGACCACTCCAAAAGCCTCGAAAAAAAAGATCTTCTTGACTGTGAGAAAGAAGTAACCGAAAAATAAAGTGCTCTTTGCGAAATGAAGAAAGACCTAACTGCAAAAAAAATCTTAGAACATTAGAGCGCTACGATGAAAGTATATCTTTTTTCTCATTTTACTTTTCTCTTCACCATAGTTAATCGATTAACTATGTCTTCACTGACTAAAAACAAAAACCTATTTTGAATTCCACAACACCTTGTGTCCAAAAGAAAACGTCAAAATACGTCAAAGGTCATAGACATCCTAGTATATTGCTTGTGAACCACTTTTTGTTTTTTTTCGCTAACTCTATGGTAAGGCATGTCATTACATCGCTAGCAGCGCCCGTGGGTAAGATGAAGCGAATCTTGTATTCTGATTGGCTACCCGAGCGGACAAGATGGGCCCATCTTGCCCGCTCGGGATTGCCCGCATTGATTCCGCGCATAAAAAGAAAAAAAAAAAGAACTACATTCGTAATTCTTGGACAATTTCGGCGATGGAAAAGCAAAAAGCGGCAAAAGAT